CCCTCATCTCTGCCCAGGAGGTAATTTACAGAATCCACTAGCCCTTGAAATGTCCAAAACCTTTTCATCCCCATCCCCGCCCCTCACCCCCACTCCCAAGGTGGTTTTTCGGGTATAAAAAATCGTGGCACCCTCCTTTTGCCACCACAGGTTGGAGAGACGTGAGTCCTCTGTGGTCGCCGGCATAATAAATGACCCTGCAATCTGGCATACTTTTGTCTTGTGGTAACTTTTTACACTCGGTCCAATACAACAATAGGAGGGTAAAAAAGAAAACAAATAATAACAACTCTTCTGTTCATAAATATCCCTTCAGGTGATGGTATCAAAAGTCAAAATATAAAGTGGCCAAAATAAAGGCCGAGTACTTTTGCACACATCTATACACTGTACCAACCATATCATGCTTCATTTATCCAATTGCCAGTCTAGACTAACAGTTCCTGCGTGGTAGGAACCCTGACTGCTCCAACTCTTTTCTCATGGCCATATAAAATAGAAGCAATGAGTTTATCTATTTGAGTCCCCAGACCCTTTCCTTTTTTTTCACCCAAGTACCAGGAAACTTGAACTCTCATCTGGGTACAAACCAAAGACGTCTCTCATGTGAGGGGAGGAATAAATGCAAAATGACTCATTTCTCTTATACTGAGACAGAAGCAGAATTAACCACTCTTGTGAGCCTGACATTGTTCTGCTCTGGACAACCTCAAATGTCTCAAAGATGCCTCGATGATGGTGAGAGGGTTCCCAGTAACCCTGGGCTGATGACTCAGCATGATCCTATGTAAAAAATGAAACTGCCCTGGTGGAGCTCCAGAATTTGGATGACCTTGTCCTGATGAGTTAGTTCTTGGGTTAAGAGGAAGACAAGAATACTCTACTCCAGTATCACATGGTACAGGTATAGCTGTGGTCATAGATTTGGATACTCTGTGGACTTGATCTCTCACTCCTAAGATGCTTGTTTACACTTATGGATTCTCCCATGAGCTTCTATGTACACCTGGTGTCTCTCACATAACTGTAGGTCACTGAACAAGATCTGAAAAGCTCAAGAAGCCACAATCTCAAAAGGGAACTTTAAGATGTCTATGTTGACATCTCACAATGCAGAAAATGCCTCCTGTTGGTTTTCCATACATTCTCAATCCAAAGTCTGGCCCTGTC